TTGAGTTTTCAATTTTGTACTAAAAACAGTACAAAACTCAAAACTCAATGCGGGTTATTGTTTTGGAACAAAAACTGTATTTGTTTTTATCCTCAAAAATTTTGTAACTTAATTTTCGTTTGGGCGTATTAAATAAACTGTAATTCCTTTTTTGTGTTTCGATGAAATTATTAACAATGCATATAATTTTTTAATTATCATATATCATTGCAAAATATTAGAGTGGTTCAATGTAATTACATAAATCAGTTAGCACAAAATCACTTCTCCTTCCATTTAAGTTTACTTGAATCATATTATAACTCAAACAAGAGTAGAGTAAAATGATTTGAAGAAGTACTAAGCGCCACCCAAATAGCACTACTTTTAGTACAAAATATTCATCTCTTGAATTTTAAATAATATTCGCTTGGGAAAAACCGAGAATAATTTAGCTCTCGTGCTTGGGTAGATTGATAATGAGAACTCAGCTAAGTTTTCAGAGAAAGAAAAGCATCAAGTTCAGGTGACTTATGAATTGAAACAATTTTGATGTTTGAGAAAGAATTACATGTTAAAAACAAATGTTTATTTATGTGCAAATTTTAAATTAAAATTTCTAGACTTTTGTTTAGATTTCATACCTTTTTTTCTATAAAGAAAGAGACTAAAGCTTGACAGAAATTAAATTAAAATTTTTTATGGATGACAGAGCCCCGATAATATCGTGCTTCAACCTATCCAGAGGGTGGGTTATCCAACCATTGCAAACCAATAAGAAAACTTGCAGCTAACGAAGGGGCCATGTATTAATTGTAATCCATATATTACTGTGTTTGATATCAATACATATCCGTCTTTGTAGCGATAGAAATCGGAGTCTAAAATCTCAAAGTGGTTATGGTGGAGTAGAAGGGACTCTCCACCCTTAACCATAGGTCGAGAATTCGAACCTCGTTATGGGCATGAAGCAACCTTAAATACTTTGGCCAACTGTCTCACTCATCTAGATGCCTACAATTCAGCGAGGAGATTAGTCATTGTTGCCGATGGTGGATACCCTGCAAATATAAAATAAAAAAATAAAAAATCCTCAAGGTGTTATTATACTCCCCCTTACAGTCTTTACACAAACCACTTCAATAAGTTAAATTTGGGGGAATATGCAAACCACAGTAATATCGTCACAGAACCTAGCGAAATTCCTTAACATCATGGAGACTGATAAACTCAAAAAATCAGCTGAAAATTGAACGAGTGCAAACCGCTTGTAACATTTTTCTTTTGGCCCCAGCAAAGGGTTGTTATTTGTGAATTGTGATGTGTACCTACACCACTTAATGTACCTAGACTAATTTCTCAAGAAATCATAAATTTGCACTCTTAATCAGACATTCACTTCAGAGAAGTTAACAGCAGAAGTGCAGAACACCACCCTTGACTTGCTAGTCGCAACACTCAATTGACCAGGTCTTTGTAACACTAGTTATTCAATAATTTTATATTAGCATTCAACATTTAATTAAAAGCTCAAAAGTCATCCTAAGGTGCCCAAGAAAAAACAGAACAAGAAGAAATAAAAGGTCCCGACAACAACTCTATCACTTGCACCATATCAACCAATTCTTTGATTGTCTCCTCTTTTTTTTTTTTTTTTCCGGCCACCATTTAGCAAAAACCAACAAACAAAATGAAGATTAATACATTATCCTTTTTCTGGGTCTCTTTGATGTTCTTGATACCATTGTTATCAGGCAAAGTGGTATCAGGTCAATGCCCTGAGGACCAGAAGTCTTTGCTTCTGATGCTGAAAGACAACTTGTCGTTTTCTTCCTCTGATAGTTTATCGTCATCCAGGTTGGTGAAATGGGACGGCGGTACTGATTGTTGCAATTGGGATGGAGTAACATGCGATAAGGTCATGTCATCAAGCTGGAGCTTGATAATCAGGCATTTTCAGGTGAGATTGATAACTCGAGTACTCTGTTTGAACTTCAGCACCTGGAAAGCTTGAATTTGGCTTACAACTACTTCTACTCTATCATTCCAAGTGGATTTTACAAGCTCAGGAATCTAACTTACCTAAATTTGTCAAATGCTGGCTTTTATGGAGAAATCAGTACTGATCTGAGATTGATGAAGAGGTTGGTTACTCTTGATCTTTCAACCCTTATCCCTGGATTTGACCGCGACCGCCTGGAAGTTGGAAATTCAAATCTTAAAGTACTGTTCCAGAATCTTACTGACCTTGAAGAGGTGTACCTTGATGGTGTCAAAATCTCAGCTCCAGGGAGTGATCAGTGCAAAGCCTTCTCATCTTTGTTTTACTTAAGGGTGCTGAGCTTGTCTAGTTGTTATATTTCAGGTCCGATCGACACTTCCCTTCTACAACTCAGTTCATTGTCAGTGATCAATCTTGATAACAATAATCTATCAGCTCCAGTTCCGGATTTCTTGGCAAATTTTGCAAATTTAACAGGTTTAAGTCTCAGCCGGTGTAATCTGCAAGGAACTTTCCCAAAGACAATCCTACAGGTGCCTACATTGGAGAACATAGACTTGTCAATTAATAATTTGCTCACCGGAATCATTCCAGACTTTTCCAGGAATGGATCCTTCAGGAAAATTGTGCTTAGCTCTACAGGTTTTTCGGGTCGCTTGCCTGATTCCATTGGTTTCTTGGGGTATTTGTCAAAAATAGATTTTTCAGTTTGCAATTTCAGTGGACCAATTCCATCCACAATGGCAAATCTCAAGGAACTGGTTTATTTGGACTTCTCCACCAACAAATTCAACGGCTCAATCCAATCATTAGAGTCGTTCAGAAAACTCCAATATACATTGATCTCTCTCGGAATTATCTTACTGGAACCATCCTTTCCACTCAATTTCAGGGCCTTACCGAGCTTTATTTCGTAAATTTAGGTTCAACTCAATAGGAGGGATCATCCCAACTTCCTTGTTTACTCATCAATCCTTGCAGAAACTTCAACTTTCAAACAATAAGTTTGGTGGTCAAATAGCAGAAATTTCCGACCCATCGACATCTTCATTAGATGTACTTGATTTGAGTGGTTACCAACTCAAAGGTGCGATTCCAAAATCTTTCTTTGAACTTAGAAGGCTCAATGTCCTCATACTTTCTTCTAACGGTTTCAGTGGAACCTTGCAACTACAAATGATAAATGGGCTGCCAAACCTTACAAAACTAGAGCTTTCTCCTAACCTGTTATTGGTTGAAGTAAATATTAGTATGTCCTACTTGCCTCAGCTCAATGTTCTGCGATTGGCTTCCTGCAATTTGCGTACCTTTCCAAGCTTGAAGAACCAGAGCATCTTGACCATTCTAGACCTCTCAAAAAACAGCATTGCTGGAGAAATTCCAATGTGGATCTGGGAAATAGGAAATGAAAATCTTCAACAGTTGAATCTTTCTCATAATCTTCTATCAAGTATGCGAAGTAATTACACGTGCAATAGTCTTCTTATGCTTGATTTACACTCTAATCTACTCCTTGCTTATGTTCCAATCTTACTACCTAACGCTATTTATGTGGATTACTCCCACGACAAGTTCACCAATTCCATTCCACCTTTAGGCAGTTATTTTACTTGGGCCGTTGTATTTTTTTCTTTTTCAAATAATAGACTAACTGGAGTAATCCCAGAATCCATTTGCAATGCAAGTCACCTCCAAGTTCTTGATCTTTCCAACAATAATTTGACAGGCAGCATACCTCACTGTCTATTTGGCAGTATGGAGCACCTCAAAGTGTTGCAATTAGGCAGTAACAACATGGATGGCACCATCCCTGATAATTTTCCAGCCAATTGTGCCCTGGAAATGTTGGACCTCAGCGAGAAGGTATTAACAGGAAGTGTTCCACGATCCATAGTCAACTGCACGTCGTTGGAAGTTCTGAACATTGGTAGAAACAACATTGAAGATGTCTTCCCTTGCATGTTAAAGGACTTATCTACCTTGCATGTACTAGTTTTGCGATCCAACATGTTCCACGGAAACTTGAGCTGTTCCTCAGCAAATAACAGCTGGCAAAATCTTCAAATCATCGACATTGCTTCCAACAGATTCAGCGTTACTCTATCGTCAAGCATCTGTTATTGGACCGGAATGATTCTCGGAGGAAATGGAATACCAGGCGAGGACCTTTCCACTAATCTCTTGAGTCTTACCAACCTTTACTATCAAGACTCAATGAGAATGATTGTTAAAGGTAGTGATTATGTGCTGGAGAAGATCCTTATTACCTATGTGGCCATTGACTTCTCCTGCAACCATTTCCAGGGGAATTTGCCGGAAACAGTTGGAAAGCTTCAACATCTTTTAAATTTTAATTTTTCACACAATTCTCTCACAGGTCCCATTCCACTTCAATCGGCCATCTTCAGCAGCTTGAATCACTAGACCTCTGATTCAATCATCTGAGTGGTGAAATTCCAATGCAGATATCAGATCTTACATTCCTTTCATATATAAATGTTTCTTACAACAACCTGGCTGGAGCAATACCAAAAGGTAGTCAAATTCAAACATTTACAGAAACTAGCTTCCTTGGGAACAGTGGATTATGTGGTTTTCCGATTAAACAGATCATGCAACTTTAACTATTAATCTAGTAACTTTTAAAGGTAGTAGGGATCATCTTTCCCCTACTTGACAGAGTTAAATTCTAGTAACTTTTAATCAATCGCTTCCAGAAAAATAATTCACAATGAGTTTTTGATATTTGTACTAAAAAAATATAAAACTTTAACTATTTTTTTTTTTGGAACAAAGATAGTATTAATCAATCTGATAAAGCTGACCAAGCCAATGATGCTTAGCTGGTCTTTTCAAAGCTAGGATCTTATATGTGAGTTGATTAATATTTCTTACTCATCTGTCGCAAAATTATTGTCCAGTTTGATGTTTCACTTTTAGTACAACGAACTAAAATGAAAATCCAAACTGGACACAATAATTTTGGGACGGGAGGAAGTATTTCTTTTGAAAAAGGTAAACCACATCTTTGTTGAAACAGAGAGTAATGTTTCTGATTGCTAATTCTACAAAGTCCTCCAGATTTCTTGGACTGGAATCTTCATCCACTGATCTTAGCTCGAAGAACAAGTCTTTTATGCTTCTCCATGTGCGAGGCATTTATGTATACGTAGTAATCCTTCCAATTGCAAAACTCATCATGAACGTCTCCATTCTAAGCTGAACCTTAAAGAAACCTTGTAGCTACTCTTCTCGTCGGCTTTTAACAGCTCGAGAAATTCCCATTTGTCCGATGGTCGAGGCCGGTGCAAAACTCGCCGTCGAACTTCAGAAGGATTGCCTTCAGTACGTGTACTATATAGGACGATCTCAATCTCAACACTTGTCACGTCCCATAACTCCGAACGATCACTTCTCAATACCATCATCTCATAAATCAGCTTTGGGTTGTTATAGTAGTACAAGTCTGGAATAATTATGGTTTTAGGGCGGCAAAAACCGAGGATACCAAGCAAAAGCAAAGCTGCGCGAGCAGATGATAAAAAGAACTTTCCTTCTTCCCACACCCACTTCAACCCATCTAAAACAAATTCCTGAATCTCAATTCCGTTTACTGCAGAACATGACGAGACAGGAAAAGAATCATCATCATCAATCACCATCTCATAACAATCCAAATCATCCACATAGTTCCCTTCGAATTTCAAGTCAATAGTCATGAAAACCTGAGACCCTTCAAATGGAATTAAAAATTCCTTCAATTCTACCAACCCTGAGGCATCAGATTGACAACTTAACTTAATCCGAGAGATCCATTGGCGCTCTGCACCTCCGCGTGAGACAAACGATACATCGGGCACAATCGTCCCAATTGTGCCAAGAACATTGTCGCAAACATTTTCGTATTCAAAAACAGCAAGGCTGGGCACATCAAAGTCAGCCACCTCCAAGTTCCTCATGCTCGCAAGCCGTATTTTCTTCAAGGACGGACTTGAAATGTTGATTCTTTTCAAGTTCTCGTAGTGTTGGATCGATAACTCTTCGAGTTGTGGGAACTGTCGTGTCCGGTGGCTGAAGGAAAAGCAGCCATCGTCACTGTCATTGACTCCCACGTCATGAGTAAGGAACAAACTTCTGAGATTTCGGTATTCAGACTGACGAAAACTAAGCCGAACCCTCGTTCCGAAAAGGGATTTGAATGTGATACAAGATACTGATTCTAAATTTGGGGCTACATCCACCTCAATATTGTGTCCCGGAAATAAATGAACTTTCAGTTGTTTCAGGTTTTGAAGATTACTAACCTTGAAACAAACCACACGGTACGTGTCCCCGCAATATGTAATCTCGATGCTTTCAATTAAAGGGTAGCTCCTGATTATTTTCTCAAACCAGCGCTCCATGTTAATGTGGTTTTGGAGAAGTACTTCTCCAAGAAATAGTCTTCTGAGATTGGGACAAGATATTCCGCTTTCTTGCTGCTCCCTAATACAACACCTCTGTAAACTCAGTTCCACCAATGATTCAATTCCAAAAACCGATGAAGGCAAGACAGTGGTGGGGTGGCACATGGAAAGATTAAGGATTCTCAAACTGTTTTTTGTGGTGGCTAATTCGATACATTGGTTACTAGGACCGTAAAAGTCATGAGCACCCTTATACGTGAATATCTCTAGATCAATGTTTTCCATGTGATACCTTTGTAATGTGGATACCATACAACTAGCTTCTTTGTGTATTTTTTCCCTCAATTCGGGATCACAATCCCATGCTATCTCTGATCCCGGTGACACGAACGAGTCGCTATCGAACAAAAGATTGGTACGGGTGCGCATTGTGTTGTACAAATCCTTTGATAAAATCCCTACTTTGATTGCATCTGTGTTAGTCAAGTAGGAAAGGATTTGATCAACAATGTCGTGTGGCAGTTCTGATAGGCTTCTCTTCTCTCCCATGGCTGTTGCTGCTACTTATATTGTTTGCTGCGGAAAAAGAATTATCATTTCATAAATCAAGTGACTTAGTACAACAAAATTTCAGCCAAAAACTTACAGCAGCAGCACCGGCAAAGAAGAACGGCGGCAGCAGTAGCAGCAGCAGTGGGTGAAAGCAGACCGGCGGCAGCAGCAGCAGAAAGGTCCGACGAAGCAGCAGCAGCAGCACCAACCGACGAAATTGAAAGAAGACCGCCGACGAAGAAGACCGGCGGCAGCAACAGCACGAAATTGCAAAGATAGAGGAAGGAGCACACGCCGGTGATGCTGAGTTTGGTCGACGGGGAGAAGAAGAAGAACGCCGGTGATGCTGAGTGTGGTCGACGGGGAGAAGAAGAAGCCCACGGCCGATCAGCTTACGACCGAAATTGAAAGAGGAGAAGAATACGCCGGCTAAAAGCCACCGGTTTTAGGCGATGGTGGAGAAAAGGAACGTACGACCGAAAGAAAAGAAACCTAGAAAAGAAAAAAACCCTAGCTCTGTACCAACTTAGAATAGGGAAATTGTATTAGATTCATCATATGTTGTGCACAATCCCTAAACTAGGACATAATAGGAAATATACTAAATATTACAATAGCCTATAACAAAAGAATTATTAAAAAAAAAAACAAGAAAAATGAAATCGAACGCACAAAACCTGTTGATTTCGATATTAGGAGTGAATATCCAATATCAAGAATCTATCTCAGCATCAAAAGTCAACTGAATTTGGATAACATTTTTTTGTAAAATTTAAGAAACTACTTGATACAACAATTTTAAAGCGGCCGCCGCAGTGGCGCACTCCCTTAAATAATATGATCACAAACCCCCACAAAACCTAACAGTAATGAACTAGTAAACGTCTAAAACAACCTCAGTAAACACAGATTACCATAACTAAAAACCCTGCCTATATGTAATCAGCGGAAAAGGATAAGTTTTTCTATGAACAAGAAACTTTTATCTGATTTCAAGTTGAGAGAGAAATCGTATTAGGAATAGAATTCTACTCTGCTTATAAAAACTGCATTTTTATCAAACAAGTAGTTTCAAAAATTAGTTTGATTGGAACACCATATTCCCTATCCATGTACTCCATTCGTTCCAAAATTATTGTCCAGTTTGGAGTTTTATTTTTAGTTCAAATTATATTAAAATTGAAATCGCAAACTAGACAATAATTTTGAGACAGTGGGAGTATGTTTATGATTCATGCTTTTGCTTCATTTTATTGTATATATACCAAAGAAAAAAATTTTAAAAATCATTTCCATTTTAAAAAGTTTCAATTTGTTTATTTGTGTTCTTCTGGAGGGTGTCGAATCCACAAGAATAATTACCAAACTTATACTGTAGATAGAAGTAAACTAGGTCAATCCAATGAGCGCAAACTTGACTTTAATGACCCTAACTGATTCTACTAGTAACAACAAAACAATCAACAAAAAAGTAGACTGTTAACTACGACTCATGCAAGTAAGTAACAAACTTAGCTACTTGAATTGAGGTTTCTATTCTACTATCCTCTGTTAACTACGACTTATGCAAGTAAGTAACAAACTTAGCTACTTGAATTGAGGTTTCTATTCTACTATCCTTTCTACCGCTTCTTCTTCTGGTTGACACTTTTGTGGCATGTACTCATGCTTGATCAAACTCAATTATAAATTAAAGAGTATTTTTGATCGTTTACACAAAATTGATGATAGTGTTTACATGTTAAGGAGTACTCGAGAATTTTATAATATATTTTAAAGATTTTTTTTAATGTATTGGAAAAACTTACTAAACGAATCATAGAACAATTCAAAATGGTTACAATAAATACTGGAGAGAGTAAGTGCCACAGTCCTCACAACAATCTTCTTTTTCACTACTTTCTTTCTAGAACTCGTAGAATTAGCAATGCTGATTATTATCTTTTCTATTTGGCTACCAATATTCTTGCAAACTTATCCTGTAATCTCCAATATCCCGAAGCATTATTATCTTTCAACGCAAGATGCAAGTACTTTATTCAAATTAAATAACTTGTCGTACTTTTTTTACTGGGTGCCCCTTCTTTTGGTTCCATATCGTAACCTCAAATTTTTTGGATTTGTATATTTAGATGTGTTTGTGGAGTTAAGTAGAGAAAAGAGATTTAAGGACAATTTTTTAAGGGGCCATATTGAAATCCACATGGTAGCTCCTCGGGCTTACAAGATTATAGTTCTAAGTTTATTCTTCAAACTTTCAGTGACAACAAAATAAAAATACGGAGGGGAGGGAGTATTTATAATTAGTATAGAATACAAGGGCTAGCTTTTCGTAGGTTTTTGCAAGTTTTAATTATTATTTATTAGTAGGTAAATTAATGGTATGTGACATTCACGTTAGGATTTGGGTTATAGGAAATGTTATATAAGTAGGGCGTCATGGAAAGAAGCGATGGACAATTGAATTTTATAATAAAAATCTATTTTTCTCCAACAAAATCAGAAGCAAGAGCAGCCATGGGAGATAGAAGAAGTCTATCAGAGTTGCCAAAAGACATTGTTGAACAAACACTTTCCTACTTGACTATCACAGACGCAACCGAAGTAGGTGTTTTGTACATCACAATGCGCACCCTTCCCACTCTTAGGTACGATAGTTCCTCTTTCACAAAGCCGGAATCTGAGAGAACACTGGGTTTTGATGCGACATTTAGAAAGAAGGTACGCAGAGAAATTAATTGTATGGAATCCACATTGCTCAGGTACCTCCAAGAAAATATTGATCTACACACCTTCACGTTTAAGTCATGCTACTGAACCGTCCAGTGACGGAACGAGAATTTTCAAATCGCAGGGTCGAAAATAGGATTATTCAACCATCACCGGAGGGTCGAACTGAAAAAATTTTAAATAACGGACACCCTACTAAGAAAAAATTTGGCCAAATCCGGTCAGCCAGGGGGTCGATCGACCACCCTTATCCCCCTTAAATCCGTCACTGGAGCCGTCCACTCTTCCTCTGGACGGCAACTGGGGCGTCCAACTTCCCCGGGGATGTGGCCACCGGAGTCTGTTCCTTCCTGGATGTCGACGCCGGCCATAACACTTGACGGCGTTCCTGCCAGTAAGTGTTGATTTGGACGGTGGCCATACCGTCCAAATCTGTGGTTGGTGGCATGTGTGGCGTCCCAATCCTTCCGGGACGGCACCTCCGTCGACCGGCCACGTTTCGGCCACCATCGACGCCGGCCGACGGTTTCCAGGTTCTCAAAAAAAAAATTCGGATTCAAAAATTTAAAAATCAATGATTTGAATATGTTTGGAAGATTTGAGTATTTGAGTGTTTAAGTGTTTGAGTGTTTGAATATTTGAAAGTTAAGTGTTTGAGTATTTGAACATTTGAAGGTTGAAAGGAGTTTTAAATTTTAAATTTGAAATTTTGAATCTAAGTAAAATTAGAAGTCAATAATTAGTTAATGGTGGACTATATCTGTTTTCTGGCGGTCTTTAAGCTTCTAGTTTATAAATTACCGAAAATAAAGAGAGAGTGGCCGGAGAAAACTTTGTCGAGAAATACTCCAATGATCTGAATTGCATGTATAAGACTAATAATACACGCCCCTAGCTAGCTGCGTTATATAGAGGAAGAATGCAGAGGATATCATCATCCACGTGAATAGGATTTTAATTCAATAAATAATTAATTTATTTGTCACCAAAAATTCCCCCCAATAATTTGGAGAGTGGATAAGGCTCCAAGGGTTTTTATATGCTGCGGTTCTTCCCACCAGATGCTTCTGCAGAGACCTCCCTCAGCTCATTTTTTAAAATAATAATAATAATATTTTCTCTTTTTTTTGGAATAAAAATAAAAGCATAATACCTGGGATCTATTCGATTACAAAACCGCGACTTTACACAAAATATTTCATTTTTGAATCTAATAGGTCATGTTTTGCCGATCAATATAGAGTCTATAAATATACATAGTAATTTTATACTCTTATAGTTCAAAAGATCCTTGAAACGGCTATAAGATACTGATTTGCTATAACCATTCAACAGCTATTAAGATTATTCACATTTCTTGTATAACTGCTTTTCTTTTCTTTTCTTTTTTTTTTTTTTGGTTGATATGAATAAACTACAAATTAACTAAACAAAAAATCCATAATTTAATTATAAAAATGTGTCTTGTTCTTTGTTACAATATCTTAAACTCACACCATGTATGGTGATTTTGTCCAAATTTGTTCCTTTTGTCCTAAAAACATAGTCCAGTTTGAGATTTGAGATTTGTATTAATTTTTAATACGAATTTAAAATATCAATGCAAATCATTTTTCATAATCGAGATCATAATACCATCCGTTTTACCTATCATCAGTCTGAACAGGTAGTATAATGGCCCGTTTTCTTAGATTACCGACAGAGTGACTTGTTTTATCCACAAAAGGAATTCTCTTAAACTGTGCTATTAGGCAGAACGGGCGGTATAATGGCCCGTTTATTTAAGTCACCAATAGAGTGACGGTTCTTTTAAACTGTGCTACCGACCTATTTGTTGTACAAAGGGAATTCGCCGTCACATTAGTCGTTAGTAGGGAATCTAGGGATAACATAATTAATGGTAGAAAATTGTTCATTTTCATTATTTTTTTGTAAGATTGAACTATTAATAAAAATTTATTCATAATAAAATGTTAATGTTTTCAATCTTTGTTTAGTCATTCACGTCATACTATATAAATACTCTCGCGGTCCTAATATTGTCTAATTAATATTTTTACTCTTAATTCAATCTATCAACGCAAAGATTATCAATGAGCGATGTTTAATTTAAAGTATATTTATCACAAAAATTAGAAAGTATCATGTTTTCTTAATCAAGATTAAAATTCTACGTACATATATCTTCTTCTTTTTTTTTTTTGTTGTTATTGTTGATATTATTATAATGTGTGCAGTCTCAGCAGTGCTGAAGGGTCCCATGTTGAAGTAGTAAATGTTTTAGAATACCATCCAGCCTTCGATATGCTTACTATCAATGAATTAATATTCGCTGACTCTTCAATATTGAATAACAGTAGTAATAGTAATAGTGAGACTTTAATTTTTATTTTTTTTAAAAAAAAAGTTATCTAATGGTGCTTTGCAGGTCAATTGGTCCAATTAAAAGATTCACACTTCAAGGTTACAGTGAATTCTACACGATATTGGTAGAAATTTGTTCTACTAAATTACTTATTGCGATAAATAACTAAATTACTTAATTTTTCTGGTTTCTTAGAATAATAATAATTATGAGAGACTGCTTATCGCGGTTCCGCGGAGAGAAGAAAACTAATTCGTAAAGGGAAATTAAATTTGAAAAGACGGATCTGGGCCTGAAGATTTCGCCTATTCAAATTCCCTTCGTCCTTCTGAGTTGGTTTGTTCAAGGGTTTAGGTCAACAACGACGTTTTCTTTTTCTTTTTCCGTTTTGAGCAAGGCGACCATTGAATCTGAGGGAAATTTCTGGACAGAGGACTATATATGAAGAGTCCATCGGAAAAGCTCAAAGGGTGCCCCGGAGATGCGATTCCGGTGGATAAAATCAGTGATTTGCCGGATTCAATACTTTGCTATATCTTTTCTTTTCTCCCAACACATCTTGTTGTGGCAACCAGCCTCTTATCTAGGAGGTGGAGGTTCCTCTGGACTAAGGTTACCACCCTTGATTTTAGTTATAATAATAGTTATGATTTACCTATCCTCAAAAAACATAAGATGAACTTTGTTGACTTTGTTAACAAAGTTGTACTTGAACTTGATCATGCGGGACGCTTGGAGAAGTTTGTCCTGAATTGGATCGTAGGTTATGAGGAAAGCCGAGTACATTATGTTACTACGTAGATAAGGTATGCAATTGGTCGAAATGTTCGAGTTCTTGATCTTTATATCACTGAATATTACTGTGATCAATACGATGCGATTCGTCTACCTTCTACCTTTTTCACGAGTAGCACACTAGAATTTCTCAGATTAGATTGTGGCAGTATTATGCTCAGCGTCCCTTCGGTGGTTTATCTTCCTAAATTAGTAGAGTTGCATCCAAAATTGGGTGCGTTCTGAATCAGATGATTCTGTTCCTCTACTTTTATCGGGTTGCCCGATGCTGCATACCCTCATGATAAAAAACGCTTGCTACCACAACTCTGATATGCTAATCAATAGAATTTCTTCTCCTTCACTGAGGTATCTCACACTATATAACGACTGGAGTTGCTGGAACAAAGATGAAAAATTGGAAATAGATGCACCTGGCCTTGAGTCCCTCGAGTTGTCCGATTGTGGATGGTGGGGCAAGTACTCTAATAAAGAGGCTAACTTCTTTGAATGTCGCAAAGCTCTATTTGTATGAGAAGCTTGATGTTGATGGACATTTTACTAAACGGTGCAATATAATAGTGAAGATGGTTGAAGTTGTGAACCATGTGAACTGCCTGAAATTGGCAGGAGTTTTTATGGAAGCACTCAGCAACGCCACAAGGAATTTGTCGGTGAAGTTTGAAAGATTAACCGAGTTGGATATCATCACAACTGAATACTGTCAATGGAAGTCTCTGAGTGTTATGCTTGACTGCTCCATCAACTTGAAAGTCCTAAAAGTTGAATGGGCTGAGAATAGTCGCAATGAACGTTGGGTGGACCCTAAGCACATTCCTAAATGCTTGTCATCGAGTCTTGAAGAGATTTCAATTAGTGGTTTCACAGGACTAACTAATGAGATGGAGATGATAAGATTTGTTCTCAAACACGGTGAAGTTATAAGGAGAATCAAACTGGAGCCCTCTGATGAATGCGTTGAGAATAAGTTTCAAATGCTGCGGAAGATATCAACGTTTCCAAGATCTTCCCGAACTTGCGTTGTGCAATTTGATTGAGGTGTTTCTAATATATAATTCCTTCAATGAAGCTCAGTTTATATGGGTTATTTTAGGCCTTTTAAGCGCAGCGGTTTAAAAAATTGGTTTTTTCAGAAATGATCTAAACTCCCATATATATCTACTTACATCTCTATCTATGCAAGAACGTGGGAAATTTTGAAACTTATGTTTAGGTTTCTCAAAGTTAATTATATACGGGATTTATGCTTTGAAGACCTCACATATTTAGACATTTTGGTCCACTTGACTTTTTAGCTCTAAAACTTCTGCTAATACTGTAGTAATGGTTTCTAACAGAAAAATTTCTAAATATGTTATTTCAGATTTAGGTTCTTCCTTGACCCTTTTTCGGATTGCAAAATTTGTCAGATTACTTTGGTGTTTTATTCGTTGATGTTTACTTCTAGCATCTGCAACGCGGCCCGCTTTCCTTGTCTGTCATATATCTATATTTCCAGCCACCACATCAATTCGAAACAGTGATCTTCTCACCTAGCACCATGTTCGTTGTTACCAATTTCATCATATCCTCGCATTGGCTTCAAATTCATGTCTTCGTGTCATCCACTAAATCCATGTATATGAATTTGCCACGGTGTTAATTATAGCCAGCATGAACAAACTGCACCGGTCCACTTTTGTTATTCATTGTCTCGAAATGATTGTCCAATTTAGACTTTGGTACTGAGCAAGTTGCACTCGATGCCTATATATGTAGCGTATGATATACTGAAGGCATGTTTTCTTGCTTAACCACAAAGTTTTAGAAGGTGATCGTATCTGTGTCTCCAAAACCAATCAATTTGATCAATCATAAGGACTCGTATCAATTGTTCTTGATGAGCTTAGCTTTTTACCTTCTAAGTTGGAGTTTTACTACCAGTGATTAATTGCGTGATGTCCTTAATTTCCGAGTGCTTCAAAAGGTTTTCGAGAGAGTATTTAATTTCTCGAATAAAGCTTAATTTGAAGTTTGTTCTGTTTCACTAGTTGGCTAATCAATTTGATGGCTTAGTTCGTAATGAGGTCTTGAAAATGATCTGAACTCCTGCGGATATGCACTAATTGTATGTCTTTCTTTCGATCTATGCAATAACCCGTCTCCAAATTGCCAGGGACAAGAATGCAATGAAGTTTCCTACTAGTTTAGAAGTTTATACTTGTTGGTAAACCAAAGTAAAGTACCCCCTCTGTCTTAAAATTATTGTCCAATTTGAGATTTTACTTTTAGTATAATTTGAACTAGAAACCCAAATTGGATAATAATTATGAGACCGGGGGAGTATGTATTAGCTTCTAGCAAGGAGCTCTTATGAGCCGATGAATATCAATTGCCAAACGTAACTAACCACAAAAACATCACGCTTACACTTATCGGACTTGATTCAATTAACATCTTCCCGGATTTAAGTTCGTGTCAAATTCAAAACACAAAAGAATATCAATATTTTATGTGGTACAGGGAAGATCCAACGGTCCAATTAATTAAAAGATTCAAACATCAAGGTTCAATGATTCACATAATGATAGAAATTGTACCCCATCTCCAAAAAAAAAAAAAAAAATTCTTCTTCTTCTGATGGAATTGTCCTAAACTTTCTTTTAGTACAATGTAAATTAAGAATTATGGTTTATAATAAATAAAAACCTAGTTCAGAAACAGGGGAAAAAAATCTGTTATGTACGTACCAAAAAAATAAAAAAAATAAAAAAGAAAGAAACGAAATCTATTACTAATTACAATTGGCTCCAACCACTCCTGGAATCTCTTTAAAACATAAGATAACTGGTAACCGATCGAAAATTGATATAATTAAGCAATCAATAATCTTAAGAAAAACTACTTGTCTTTTTTACGAAGCATGGATCTGCACCGACGTCTCTGGTTGGTTGAACCGGCGGCCATGGCTGAGTTAAAACCCTAAAACCTGCAAAAGAGGGCCTCGAAATCTCTCAAGGGTAGACACTCTGATATTTAAGTCAGTAAGAGTAGTTGTAATAGGGTACGAAGTGTGGTGCGTAGAGCGTACCTTTGATATGAGGGGTTGATCCCTATTTATAGAGGTAGGTTATAGAACCCTTTCTTGGTAGAAAAGTAATTAAGAACCGACCTAGAAGCTTCTAGAGGCCGGTTGAACCTTTCACCGAACTTGGGCCGGCTTAGTTGCGGGCCGTACTAATTTGGACTCGTCAAGTGCCCCTTATCAAGCCTATATTTCGAAGTCTGAAGATAGGATAGGCTTGATAACATGAAGTATATAGTTTCCTCAAGTTCGGGAAAAACTAACTTGGATCGAGAACCTGCAAAGGCTAGCATCGAGGAGAGATTAATGCAATAAAAGCATTAGCACGTACTTTTCTCGATGTGCATGTCACTTATAATGATTGACATCGAAGTCTGAGGGAGATGAAGTCACTAGTCCAGACTTTTAATCGAGAAAGCATTATGTGATGGTCTTCACAATCTGCACCAGAGAAATATCGAGGCGAATGCCCCGCTCCTTGAGAGGATTATAGAAGAAGAAGTAGTGGAGATTCCCACTATTTCAGATATAATAGTGTATTGTTAATAACCGGCAGAACAAGAAATCTGCTCGAAGATTACAATGCGCACTTCAGATCGAGAAGCATTAACTCCAAATCTCAAGAATAATGAATGAGAAGCATATCAAATGATCTCGTGAATAGAGGCAAGAGATATGCCTAAATGAGGTTGAACACATGAGTCTCGAAGACTTCGAGAAGATAAGCTCAAGAAGGAGACTTCTATCAATACTATGTTGAGTACCAAGAGAGAAGATGTAACAAGACTGTGATTATTGATATTTGTCGTCGAAGACATAAGTTCGAGAAGAAATATAAGTTGGAGCTGCATGCCAAGAACTTGGCCCAAGATAATCTATTGTCGAGAAGGAAACGTAGCGGAGATTCTCACTAGTCTCAAAATATGCGCCATTAGCAGCGGCTAAGATATATCCACTGTCGAGATGAGAAGTCTATTGGAGAGCTGTGACATACGCTTCTGACTGAAAGGTAATAGATCCAAACCTTCAAGAAAAACCATCGTGTAGTGGATCGAGAAGCACCATGAATAAAGACAGAATATTCTATTGACACTCGATGTCGAGGATATGAGTTTGAAAAGAAACACTGTCTGCCGAGAACTTGCCCCAATGTGACCTTCTATTAAGAAATCCAGAGATTGAGAAGATTCTGTCGAGCAGAACTCCAGAAAGTACTCAAGAGTTGTAACCATCTGACCTTGAAGAAAGCACACAAGCATTTAAGCTTATTTATAGCCGCCCAACCAACTCGCTTGCCATTTCTCATGTCCCGAGAAATAAAGCATAGAACCCTTAGTCCGGGTTTGAGAAGTATAAATTAGGTTGATGTGTCGAACCCGAGTAGATGTATAATGTCATTGCCTGAGATTCGAGCAAGAATCGAGGAGGTATTACGCATTAGTGTGAGAAGGAACGATGCCCCAGTCTGAGGACCGTCGAGAATAGTCATAGGAAGAGATCCGTAGACCAATAATCATCAAAAAAACAAAAACACAACCTCCCAAACACCTCCAAAACACCTTACACACCCTCCAGACACCTTACACACCTTACATACGCCTTACAATCTCCCATATATAAACACTCCTCGTTATAGATAACCCCAGAGCCGTTACTCATCTCGGAGCCCCCAAGTCTTGGGGTGGCATTTGGCAGGCAGAGACTTTAGATGAGAGTGTAATTCCTGCCGCTCAGTTCGAGGAGGTGCCTGATCAAGCAGCCCCCATACTCGTAGGGTTAAGGCAATAAAATGGCGTCTATCAGAAGGAGATGGATAGTAACCACCTTACAGAAAGAATAGGCCTGTATTAACGAGGCACAAAGTGAATTCGAGAACATCGAAAATAAAGTCATTTTCATCCTGATGTATTGGATGATATGATATATCGATCCAAGAAAGTATACTCGAGAACAAGACTAGTTCTCGTTGAGGTATAAAACACATGTGTTTAGGATCGAGGGATAGTCCACCCATTGTTCATGAACATGAAAATCTAGGCCTTTCTTAATACCGGATGTCGAGTACTCGGCTTATGAGTTACTTGTAAAGCGCTTATAATGGCCGGATGTTAAGTACACGGCTCTTTTGTAGGCGATCGTGAAGAGGATACCTTTGTACAGACGATTCTGAAGAAAACATCTTTTTAAGGATGATCCTGAAGAGGATATCCTCGAGGTTTTTATAGTTTGTATAGATAAATCACCCATTTCGAAAACTCGTAATCTTGTACGATACACAAACCACAATCTTGAATGATGTTTTGGCTAAAAAATTTATATAAATACATATGAATAATGTTTTGGCTAATGATTTCCTACACTACAATTTTATAACAGTTTGTAAAATAATATGTAACGTTTGCCGTATTTTTAGTTAATTAGTACTTTTACTTTTTTTAATGTTATACTAACATTCTAACCCACCATTGGATGAACCCGTCAGGGTCATTTGTCAAAATCATAATACTTGGCTAAGGATATCCTACACTACAATCCTAGAACACTTGTAAATTAAATCATCATATAACATTTGCTATATTTGTTAATTTAATAATTACTTTTCTTTGTTTTCCATTTTTAATTACACCCTAGCTGATCATTGGATGAACTCATCAAGGCCCTGTTAAACAAATGACCCCTGCACTTGCAAATGAAAATTGTTAAGCAAATGACCTCTATATTTTTAATTGTTATTTCTCTTTCTTTAATTTTTACTAACACTCTAACCAATCATTGGATAAATCCGTCAGGACCATTTATAAAAATTTTATTTAAACGATGTTTTAGCTAACAATCTTCTACACTATAATCTTACAATACTTCGTAAGCTAACACATAAACTTTGTTGCATTTTCTAATTAATTATTACTTTGATTTCTTAATATTATACTAATACCCTAACCCACCATTAGATAAACCCATTGGGGTCATTTGTCAAAATCATAATTAAATGATATTTGGCTAAGGATATCCTATATTACGATTTTACAACGTTTGTTAGACCACCATATAAAAGTTGCCACATTTGTTTATTAATTTAATTTTTTTCTTTTTTTAAATTTTTATTACAGTTTAGCGCACTATTGGATGAACCCGTCATTACACGTGTTTAGCAAACAACCCCTGCGCCTGCAAATGAAAACTGTTAAACGAATGACTACTATAATTTTTTATTAAATAATTATTTGTCTTTTTTTAAATTTTTTACAAACACTCTAACCAACAATTGGATGAACCCATCGCAATTATGTGTCAAAATTTTATATAAACGATATTTTGATTAAAAATCTTCTACACTACAATTTTATGATACTTCGTAACTAACACATCAACTTTGTCGCATTTTTTTAACTAATTATTACTTTGCTTTTTGAACATTAAACTAACACCCTAATCCGCCATTGGATGAACCCATCAGGGTCATTTGTCAAAATCATAATTAAATAATTCTTGGCTAAGGATATCATAGACTACAATCTTACAATGCTTGTTAAATCACCATATAAAATTTGCCACATTTGCTTATTTAATAATTACATTTCTTTTTTTAAAATTTTTAATTACACCCTAACCCACTGTTGAACGAACCCGTCATTGCACAAAATGAAAATTGTTAAGCAAATAACCCCTACATTTATTTAAAATAATTATTTCTCTTTTTTTTTGTAATTAACGAACACTCTAACCAACCATTAGATGAACCCGTCGTGTCCATGTGTCAAAATTTTATATAAATGATGGTTTGGCTAACAATCTTCTACACTACAATCTTATAATATTTCATAAGCTAACACATAAAATTTGTTACATTTTTCTAGTTAATTATTACTTTATTTTTTAAAAAATTACACTAATACCCTAACCCACCATTGGATGAATCCGTCGGGGTCATTTGTCAAAATCATAATTAAATGATGTTTGGCTAAGGACATCCTACATTACGATTTTACAATGTTTGTTAAGCCACCATATAAAATTTGCCACATTTGTTTATTTGAATTTTTTTCTTTTTTAAAATTTCAATTACACGCTAGAGCACCATTAGATGAATCCGTCATTGCACCTATTAAGCAAATAACTCTTGCGCTTGCAAATGAAAAATGTTATCGAATGACACCTACAGTTTTTCTATTAAATAATTATTTCTCTCTTCTTTTTTTAAAATTTTTACTAACACCCTAACCAACCGTTGGATAAACCCATCGCAACTTTGTGTCAAAATTTTATATAAACGATGTTTTGGTAAACAATCTCCTACACTATAATTTAGCTATGAAACCTTCAATGTAAAGCCCTAATTTAGCAAAATTGGTAAAGAAAGGATGATAAGGGGGAGAATTAGAGGGTTGAGATGTAGAAGAAAATTGTGAAAGAGAAGAAGAAGGAAAAGGGGAAGCTATGGTGCTGAACCAAGACATATGCAAATACCAATGCTGGTACAGAGTTCATAAGCAAGCAATTTGAGTTCAATATACATAGAAGTCACATTAAATCATACAATGCCATTGACAATCAAAAATATGGAAAATTATAGCTAACACCATCAATACAATCTCACTGGAAATGAAAACTACAACCACTAAAGTGTAAAACTATAAGCGCATCCAAATGGTCAGAACAACTATCAATTCACTGTTGAAACCTTTAATTATGACAGCGCCAATCATCAGGAACATGACCATGTCCATTCTCACAACTGAAACTACCAAAGTATGCCAAGTGATCATCCAAATGAAGGTCACTTCATCAAGGAACATCGGGTGTCCCCTATAACCTTCAAAACATGTGGTACCACCTCTGAAACAAGTGGCCAACTGAATCCAAACCATCATTCTTGACAGCATTGTTCCACCTCTAAAAACAGTTGCTCCTTTAACCGAATCATTCATTTCTAAAGGAAGAATATCACCTTCTAAAATAGTATTCTTTTCAATCTCAGCTTCACCGCATACACCAATTCCAGGTAGAGTAGACAAGTTATCTGTAGCCTCAAGGTTATTCATGAAACTTGGAACAAAGTTTTTCCCGACAGTGATTCCAACATCAACTGGTTTCGAAGTACTACTACCATACAGTTCCAGTAAGGTGTCTATATGAACAAATCCACAGCTGAGATCAAGCACAACAACATTGTGACTCCATAGAGCAGGAAACACTGTTCCACCACTAAAGCACGTAGTAATTTTATCCCATGCTCTAATCCCTTTTCTTTCAGCAGAGAGTAAGGTCACCCTATCAGGCTCAACCATTACAGTCACATATTCATTTTTTGCCTCTACAGGATTCAGGAAGTAATTCTACTTGGCAACGGAACCATCATTAACAAGATTGCAATTCAATTTAATCAAAGCATTGTCATCTAATCTCTTAAGTGAAGCATCAATGCCACTAAAATGCACAAACTCATCAATAACGTCCTCAATGACATTAACTACCACAACAACACTATCATTTCCAATCAAATGATCACTAACACATACAAATTCGTCTGACAGGCTACTTGATTCATCTACTAACAAAAAATCATCTTCATTATCAAATTCTTCAATAATATCATCAAATCAAACAGAATCACCATCACATTCCAAAGAAACTTCATCATAACTCAAGAATTTGGTACTTTTGGTGTTGAGGAGAAAACTACCTTATCTGTCGTTGACAATGTTTGGCTCCTCCAATTCATATGGCCTTTCTTGTTTGGTGACCCCTTCTTTTGCATCATGAATAGAATCATTAATGCCAAGCATTATGAGTATCGCATCCAACTTTTCATCCGTATGTCTCCCAATGCGTCTGATTCTTTCTACATCAGGAAGATTGAGAAACTTCTTAGCCTCCGTTTCTAACCAGTGCCTGCAGCACATTTCTTCAACTTCTTGAGCAAAGGTGAGACTTTCGGGCCAAACGATTGTCACTTCAGAATCAAGAGCTGAGAATTGGTTTCCTAGGGTTTGGTATTCAACCGGCTCTATGATGATTAGGATTATTCAGTAAAGAAAATTGGGGAAATGATGCTCAGAGAATAGAAGACGAATTTGGAACAAAATGATACGGAATTGAACCAATTTCAGGGGGAAAACCGAATCCATTCTCGAAGTAACGATGTCGGCAGAATTGATCAAAGATCAAGAAAAAAGGGAGTCGAATCTGAGAGAGGCGAATTCGATGAGAACCAGGAGGAGAGGAGATTGATTTGAAAGCATATCGAAGGAGAAAGAGGAAGAAGAAGAACAGAATCAGAAATGAATTCGAAGGAGATGAGAAGAATCATCGAATCGATTTTGAAGAAGTTGGGATTAAGAAGAATCAGAGGTGCAAGATCTACCATTGAATTACTGCCTTAAAGAATGTGAGTTGCAAGATCTACCACAGCAGGGAGCTCTATTTACCTGGTGTAATCAGCGAATGGGGGGATCCAAAATATATGCTAAACTAGATCGTACGATGGTCAATGGTTATTGGGTGGACCAATACAACCAAACCCTGGTGACAACTATGAAGGAAGGCATCTCATATCACTTCCCACTTTTGGTGCAAATGTCGATGGATGTTGTCATGAACGCTTCAATGGAAAGCCCTAATTTAGCAAAATTAGTAAAGAAACAATGATAAGGGGGGAGAATTAGAGGGTTGAGATGTAGAAGAAAATTGTGAAAGAGAAAAAGAAAGAAAAGGGGAAGCAAAATTCAAAGTTCAGAGCGTGAAGATGATGAATTTTCATTCATTTTCCAAAAATTAGCTTTTTTATTTTTATTTTTTTTTTTGGACAGCTCTTACAATTTTTATTTTTTTCATTGATTTACAGTCATTCTGTCGGAGGTGGAACCATTAAAATACTGCCTTGGAGAATGTGAGCTGTAAGATCTACCACAGCAGGGAGCTCTATTTACCTGGTGTAATCAGCAAGTGAGGGGGATCCAGAATATATGCTAAACTGGATAATGGCGATGGCTCTCCAAATAGGTCTTTGTTCAATTTTTTTTTATATATATAAGAAAACTTTCTCTCTCTTCGTTTCCCCTCTCTCTCGGTGCACATTAGCGTCACTGCTAATGTGCACCCGCCATGGCTCGAGGGCGGAAACCAGCAAAGAAAGTCAATCAAATGAAGGGAATTTGATGGATATGGAAGATAATAGCACTAAAATCGAACAACAACAGTCTCAAAGAAAAGGAAAAGAGCAAATCAAAGAGAACAAGATCCAGTCTATAAACCTAACTCACTGGGGGGTAACGGTGGAGATGGGGAAGAACAACCAAGCAATTGAAGAGAGGAAATCGATGGAAACGTTGATACAATTAGGGGGACGGCGATTATCTTGGAGTGAAGCTATGGAGGAACCACCAAAGAACAGTACCTGGGAAAAACTCGATGTCAATCGAGTAAGGAAAGCAGGGGCCAAGATAGATTATGTGCAATCGAAGAGGGTCAGTGAGTATCTATTGCAAAAATTAAACCTCAAAAGGTGAAGGAGGAAGCAGATTATTAGAAACCCTCTGTAATTAGCTTTGTTCTGGGTGGTCACCCCCCGTTTCCAGTTATGGACTAGTTCTACAGGAAGCTCTGGGGCCATTTGGGTGTAGACGAGGTTAATCTCCTTCATACTGGCTTGTATCTAATTCAATTTACATCTATGCATGCTAGGGAAGAAGCTTTGAGTTTGAATAGTTATCATTTTGGTACTGGACATCCTGTAATTGTGAAACCTCGGTCTATTGATGAGGGAATTAACTATAAGGATGTTAACAAAGTCCCGGTCTGGATTCAATTTCCTAAACTAGAGCTTAAGTATTGGAACTCTGATTCCCTAAGTTGCCTAGCTAGCACACTGGGTACCCCCATCATGGCAGATGAATTGACTGAGAATAAGGATAGGCTGAATTATGCTAGCCTCCTAGTGGAGATGGAAATCAAAAGTGAAGTGCCATGAAAGTTTATTACGAGGATGAGTTTTTTGTGGTGCAGGAACAAGAGGTATATTACGAAAGGAAACCGTATTTTGTAATAATTGTCAAGGCCATGTCCATGAAACTAGTGTATGCAGAAGGAGTAAAGCCCCATCCCCCAAAGAAAACAGACCCCCTATTACTAAGCAGATTCAGGAGGAAAAAGAGTGGAAGCAAGTAGTAAAAGGGAGTAAAACAGAAGGAAAACAAATGAGCCCTCAGTAATCACTGAACAACAGAGAAAAAACCCTGGGATAAACCAAACAAGCTTCTCCATTCTGAGCAGACATTCTAAGGAAGATATCCAGAGGATTGACAGAGGGCAAAAAGGAGAAACCAGTGGACTGGAAAAGGAGATTGATCCAGATCTAGACCCTATTTTTTAATTAGTAAGATCCTATCGTGGAATATACGGGGATTCAACGCCCCAATAAAGCAGAGAGAGCTCTTTCGAGTCTTATATGCAAATAGGGTCAACTTAGCCTGTATTATGGAGATTAAAATGAATCAGGAGAAAATGAAAAATGTTATGAAGCACAATCAGTGGAAATATCTAATGAATGGAGACTGTACAACGAAAGGGAGAATGATGATCTTATGGGACGACACAGTAGAGGTGCATGCCATCAGGATAGCACAACAGTTCATACACTGTCAAGTTGTCATGAAACAGAGTGGAAACAAGTTCCTACTAACAGAGATATATGCTGGGAATCTGGAAGCTAACAAAATGGTTCTATGGGAGGGGTTAGTGAATTTCAGCAAAACTGTGGATGAAGCATGGTTAGTATGTGGGGACTTCAACAATGTCCTCACCCAAGAGGAGAAGGTTGGGGGCAACCCAGTCATTCTGTCGGAGGTGGAACCATTAAAATTCTGCCTTGAAGAATGTGACTGCAAGATCTATCACAGCAGGGAGCTCTATTTACGTGGTGTAATCAGCAGGTGGGGGGATCCAGAATATATGCTAAACTGGATAGTACGATGGTCAATGGTCATTAGGTGGACCAATACAACCAAACACTGGTGACAACTATGAAGGAAGGCATCTCAGAGCACTGCCCACTTTTGGTGCAAATTTCAATGGATGTTGTTAACAAAGCCAAGCCTTTTAAATACTGTAACATGTGGAAGCTTGACCCAGGTTTTTACCAAGTGGCGGAAGAACATTGGAACAAGGAGGTCAGGGGAACATTGATGTTGTAAGGAAGACGAAAGCACTGAAGCAACTACTTAAAGCATTGAATAGAGGGAGCTTCTCTGATATACAGATCCAGCTGACGGAAGCTCAACTGAATTTGGAGAAAGCACAACAAGAACTGTCAGACTATCCCCTGGATGTAAACCTGCAACAGACAGAAAGAGAAGCATACAAGAACTACATTAGCAAATATGTAGATTTCGATAGCTTCATGAGACAAAAAACAAAAGAGGATTGGATAAGAGAGGGGGATATGAACAGCAAATTTTTCCACTCCAAAATGAAGCAAAGAATGATGAGAAGTAGAATATGGTTGGTGGTGAATGAAGAGGGAGAAATTATCAGAGATTGGCAACAAATTGAAGCCCATTTCTTGCAGTACTTCCAGGCTCAACTAGGACAAAAAACACCAAAGGAGGCAATAAGGCAAGAGGTCTTCTACAAAGGACCAAGGCTGAACCTGGAACAACAGATGAGCTTGATTGAACCAATCACCAAGGAGGAGATTAAAACCCCTGTGGAGCATTAACATCAACAAGAGCCCTGGACCGGATGGATACAACAGCGACTTCTTCAAGTTAACTTGGAAGATCATAGGCGATGATGTGACTGCTGTTGTGCTGGAATTCTTCGAACACGGTATGTTACCAAAACATCTTAATGCAACTATGATTGCCCTTATTCCTTAAGTTAAAAATGCTAATACAGCTAGCCAATTTAGACCAATTGCATGTTGTAACGTACTTTATAAAGTCATCTCTAAAGTACTATGTAATACATTGAAGATAGTATTACCTAAATTAGTGGATAGTAACCAAGGGGCTTTTGTAAAGGGGAGATTAATATTACATAACATTTTGATAACTCAAGAGTTGATACAGCTTTACAATAGAAAAGGAGTTAGTAGTAGATGCATGATGAAGATAGATCTACAAAAAGCATACGACTCTGTAGAATGGGATTTTGTGCAAGACTATTTGAGAGGGTATGGTTTCCTTGGGAAGTTTTCGGGGTGGATCATGGAGTGTGTGAAAAAACCACTTCCTTCTCATTATGTTTGAATGGTAAGATTGTGGGACATTTCAAAGGTCAGAGGGGATTGCGACAGGGGGATCCCATCTCCCCCCTGATTTTGTGTTGCTGATGGAATATCTAACTCGGCTGCTAAAAGAGATTGCTGAAATTCCAGGGTTCCAATTTCACCCTATGTGCTAGTGCAATCGATTTGCATAATTATGCAATTATACTAACACCCTAGCCCAATTGGATAAACGCATGGGGTTATTTGTCAAAAACTTAATTAAATGATGGTTGCCTAAAGATATTCTCCAACACTTCTTAAACCACAATATTTAATTGCCACATTTCTTATTTAATAATTTTTTAAAATTTTTTTTATTTTTTTTACAAACATCATAACCTACCATCGGATGAACCCATTAAGACCTATGTTAACCAAATGACCCCTGAAATTGCAAATGAAAACTGCAGTTGCGTTTCTAATGAAACAGTTAAGCAAATGACCCTTGCAATTGCAAATGAAAACTGTTAAGCAAATTACACTTGTATTTTTTTTTTAATAATTATTTCTTTTATTTTCATTTTTAATGACACCCTAAGCCGCAATTGGATGAATCCGTCGAGGCCATATGTCAAAATTTATATGGATGATTTTCCTTTTTAAAAATTTATTTTTTACTAACATCTTCACCCACCATTGGGTAAACCCGTCAGGACCTCTATTAAGCAAATAACCATGTATTTTTTTTAATTGAATAAGTATTTTTCTTCTTCTTTTTTTTTTAATTTCTACTTACACTCTAATCCACCATTGGATTATCCCGTCGGGACCATGCATGTGTCATATATAAATGATATTTTGGCTATTGATCTCCTACACTTAATCGTATAACACTTTGTAAACTAACACATAAAAATTGTCGCATTTTTCTAGATTATTACTTTACTTTTTAAATATTTTTTAACACCCTAACCGACCATTGGATGAACCCGTTAGATCATTTATCAAAATCATGATTAAATGATGTTTGGGTAAGGATATCCTAGAACACTTGTTAAACCACAAAATTAAATTTGGCACAATTGTTTATTTTAATTTTTTTCTTAATTTTTAATTACACCCTAAACCACCATTGGGTGAACCCGTCAAGGACCCTATTAAGCAAATGACCCCTGCAATTGCAAATATAACTGTTAAGCAAATGACGCTTGCATTTTTTTTATTGAATAATTATTTTCCTTTTATGAATTTTTACTAACACCTTAACCCACCATTAGATGAATTCGTCAGAACCATATGTCAAAATTTTATATAAATGATATTTTCGCGAATGATCTTCTACACTACAATCTTATAACACTTCATAACATATAAAATTTGCCGCATTATTCTAATTAATTATTAATTTATTTTTTTAATATTATACTAACACTTTAACCTACCATTGGTGAACCAGTTAGGGTCATGTGTCAAAATCATAATTAAAAGATACTTGGCTTAGGATATCCTACATTATAATCCTAGCTAAAACACTTGTAAAATCACCATATTAAATTTGTCAGATATTTAATTTTTTTCTTTTTTAACTTTTAGTTACAACCTAACCTACCATTGGATGAACCCGTCAAGGCCCCTGTTACAAACGACTCTTGCAGTTGCAAATTAAAACTGTTAAGCAAATGGCCCATGCAGATTTTTATTGAATAATTATTTTTTAAAAATTTTTTTTACTAACACCCAAACCAATAATTGGATGAACCCTCCAGGGTTATGCGTTAAAATTTTATACAAATGTTGTTTTTGGTAACGGTCTCCTGTATTACAATCATATAATACTTCGTAAACTAACATATAAGATTTGTCGTATTTTTTTAGTTAATTATTAGTTTACGTTTTTAATATTTTACTAACATCCTAACCCATGATTAGATAAACCCTCGGGGCCATTTGTCAAAATCATAATTAAATAATGTTTGACTAAGGATTTTCTATACTACAATCCTACAATACTTGTTTAACCATCATATAAAATTTGCCATATTTGTTTACGTAATAAATATTTTTATTTTTTATTTTTTAATTACACCCTAACCCATCATTAGATAAACTCGTAAAGGCCCCTGTTATGCAAATGAACCCCTACACTTACAAATGAAAATTTATAAGTAAATGACCCCTGTTTTTTTATTAAATAATATTTTTTTCCTTTTTTTAAAATTTTTACTAATACCCAAACTCACTATTGGATAAACCTATTGGGAGCATGTATCAAAATTTTATATAAATGATGTTCTAAATAACGACTTCCTACACTACAATCTTATAACAGTTCATAAACTAACATATAAAATTTTTGGCATTTTTTTTGTTACGTATTACTTGTTTTTTTAATATTATACTAACAACTTAACGCATCATTGGATGAACCCACCAAGGTAATTTGTCAAAATCATAATTAAATGATGCTTGGCTAAGGATATCCTACAATACTTGTTAAACCATTATAAAATTTCTCACTTTTTTTTTATAATTTTTTTAACTTTTTATTACATCCGAACCCGCTCAGTAACGAATTTTCGCAGGAGTGAAATTAATTAGAAAATTTGAAGTCTTTTTTTTCATTTTTTGCTAAAAAACAAAAAAAAACAAATAAAAATTGGGAGTTTTAATTTCGCTTGGTTATGAGATTTTACGTTAAACTTTCAATTTGAATTTCTTACAAATGGCTTTGAAATGTTTTCTTTCTTGTAATTATTTTTTCAGAAAAGAATCCTCTTACACCACATTTCTTTTCGTTTGGTGATTATAAAAATCCAAACGTGCAAGTTGAAACACAGTGTCTTTTTTTCCCCCTATATTTTTACTTTTTCTGTCTTAAAATAAAAAGTCATTCTTTTGTCTTATATACTACGTGATTGGAGTGAACGAAAACATCTCATGGACAGCATCGCACCGTATGACAACCCTTTTTGTTCTCATCCCGTTCCATCAATTTGGAGCTAGGGACTTTTGGAGGGAATTTAGGTAGCAAAAATGGATTTTCATTAAACATTTCCCACTCAAAAGTGATCGCCTCATTTATAAGCTTTGTACGGCATCAGAGCAAAGGGTTTTTTTTTTGGTACGATCCCTCTCTTTGCCCGGTGGTTTCTGGCTCTCTGCTGAGAGATTTTCCGAGCAAAACGTCTTCCTCCGGCTACTTTTCATCGGTAATTTTTTTTTTCTTTAACTTTGCATCTCTAAAGCTAGCCCATTTGACGAAAATGAAACTCATCAACGATGAATGCCTTTGGTTCTTCTAAATTTGCTCCTGCTAAAAGGGTTTTCGTTTCTTCTTGCGAATGTTTGGGGTTTGACGTTTTCTGGAATCCCACTTGGATTTTGATGCAATTATTTGTGGATTTTTCTTGTTCTTCTTTGTATGTTAACTGACTATTTATATGTGAGTAGATCTAGGTATTATTGATTTTCGCTACTTGTATACCTTCTGCCTGGACGCTTTGGTGGTGCTGTGTTAGCAAATCCTTGCAATACTTTTATTGGAAATCGAGATTAGGACCATGGTCGATAGTTTCGGATAGTAAAGAAGAGCTAAAAATTTTAGACAGGAGACTGCATATTTCAGACTTCGCCTTCTGATTGAGTTTATTTATCCCCTGTTTTTCCCTTCTTTGATCTCTTTTTTGGGGGTAATTAACAGTATATATTGACACAAGGAGTACTAATCAACTGGACTGAAGTTCCGAAGCTGCTCATTTCATTGCATCAAAGCTGATAAGAAATTGGCCTAAGAAACCTTGCTCTTTGCTTTAAAGTGCCAGTCTGGTGCATTCCTTTCTTCTCGTATGTGATAAACTGTTGGCCGTGATTGTGGCACTTTGAATTTGTTTCTGCAACTTATAATGTATCTCTTTTGGTCATTCCTGTAGTTAAGTTAGAAATGATAGTCTTTTGTTCCTGTTTTCACACAGATCAGCTGTGAATTATGGGGAAGGGAGCTAGAAACAAGAATCAAGCACCGACACATACCAAGGAGGTTCATGAAACCCTCACGAACACGATAACCAGTTTTCTAGGACCTGTAAGTAATATGTCGCTGCGACTTGATGAAATTTCCTCTACTGTGAATGGTCTAGTTAACATCAGCAAGAACATGGATGAGGCATCTGGAAGAACAACTACAGCTAAGTCAGTCATTGCTGTTGATTCTAAGCGAGACATTGTTGGGGAGTTCCGTAATTTGAGACAGACCACTACTGTGGCAGAGTACCGGGAGAAGTTTGAGGAATTAAGAGACTGGATGGTGAAAATAGATTATGGGCTCTCTGAAGGTTATTTGATTTACAGCTTCCTGACTGGACTTAACCAAGAAATCAAATGTTCCATTGGAAGTCATAAACCTGAGAGTCTATACCATGCTTATGACCTTGCACGCATCCAGGAGATATCAATTGAAAAGAGGAAAGACAAAGAGACGAAAGAAACAGTGGTGAAAGACAAACTAAAATCTTCTCGTAAGATCGACCCTAGTTATTATCGTAAACAGGCTCAGGCCTTTTTAATTCCTGGCAACCCCCTCGATTTTCTTCCTCTTGTGCATGACATTGACAATCAGGCTTTCATCACAGAGAAACGGGCAAGAAACAAGAATCAAGCACCTGCACAGGCCAAAGAGGTTAATGGTATAGCTTTGAAGGGAGAAGAAGCCAAGTTGGGAACCCTCACAAACACGATAAAAGGTCTACTTGGAGATGTGAAAAATATGTCGCAGCGACTTGATGAAATTTCATCTACTGTGAATGGCCTAGTTAACTGCAGCAAGAATGTAGATGCAGCCTCAGGAAAATCAACTATAGCTGAGCCTGGCATTGCTGTTGATCCTGAACTATACATTGTTAGGGAGTTCCATGATTTGAAACAGATCACTTCTGTGGCAGATTACCAGGAGAAGTTTGAGAAATTAAGAGATTTGATAGTGCAAATGAATTATGGACTCTCAGAAGGTTATTTGATTTCCTGCTTCCTGAGTGGTCTTAAGCAAGAAATCAAACAATCAGTTGTGAATCGCGAACCCAGGACACTTTTCAGTGCTTTCAACCTTGCACGCATCCAGGAGACAGCACTCGAAGAGATGACAGACGAAGAGACGAGAGACAAACTGATGAAAGAAAAACTAAAATCTTTGGGAAGGGACGAGCCTAACTTGCAATGTAAGCAGGTTTCAATGTTCATTAGTCGTGACGACCCCCTCAAAATTAGAGCTTTTGTAGGAGAAAAGAAAGTAACAATCTTAATATCGACTGGCATGGAGTATAGCTACATTGATACTTCTTTAGCAATTACAGCAGGATGCAAGATTGAGGAGGCTGAACCCTTACGGGTAAACTTTTTGAAGCTTGGTTACCAGGCTGTAAGCCGGTTCAGATGTCCAAAGTTGGAGTGGACGATGCAGGGTCATAAATTTGAAGCTGAGATGAGGGTTGTTGAGATAAAGGGTGCTTGTGACATTGTGCTGGGAGCAGATTGGGTGCATAAAAACACCCCTTTGGCATTCACCACCGATGGGATCTTGCTTAAAAAGGATGGAGAGGCAATTGTGTTGTTGAATAAGTCCAAATCAACTAAGCTCCTGACTAGTAGGATGTTAGTCTTTGGTTCTGATGGGATTTTCATCAAGGAGGGAGAGAAGGTGACACCGATTTCATCTACATACATGGGACTCGAGTCCATGAATGGCTTTAAGGGGATGCTATCGTCATTGGACTATCTGATATCTATGCCTGCTGATGGGTTTTTTGACTAGGAGTGAGAGAAGGTGATACCGGATTCATGGAGACTCGAGTTCATGAAGGGCTCTAAGGGGGTGCTACCGACATTGGACTCAATGATGTGTATATGAAGAGGTTGCAATCTGTTTTGCCTTCTAGTTAACGTCTGCGCTGTGGATTTTGGTTCATTCAAACGATGTCTCTAACTAGTTTTAGTATTTTGGTATGCAAGACGTGGAAAAGTCCTCCCTAGTTGTTTCTTGGTTTTAATTCATGTATAGTGTTGGTCTGCTTCTCATCTCGTGTCTGCTCTTGTTTTGTTGAGAATGGTGAAGTGTTTTTAGGTCTTAAACAGCTGAAGAATCCAACATGTTCCTTGTTTATCGCCTTTTAAAAGTATATTTATGATGAGCAACATTCGAAAAGTAAGAACAGAGTAGTTTCTTTTGGAACAAAAACAGAGTAGTTTTCCTTTCTTTTCTTTAAGAACATGGTACTTTTTAGTCTATTGGTTTACTAGTTAACAAACATTTTTGAAGAATTTTCTTTGTTGTAATGCTTCTTTGAGGAAAGAAAAACTCAGGAATTAAGTACAGAAAAATAAAGTGGTACCTTCTATAATGTTTGTCCATATTTTGTTGGATTAACATCTGATTTCTTTTGTGTTATTTTATACCTACTAGCATTTGATCTTAACAGGGGAATCCTTATCATCAAAGAAAGAACAATAACAAATGTTGGAGTTTTTATGGAAATATTGCAGGAACATGAGCTAAAATACTGGAAAAATTGGCGTTCATACTCAAAACTTTGGTCTCATTGTCAATTTTACCCTATTGATTTCCGGTTACTCAATTTTGTTCATACTGTATGAAACTTTTGTCAATTCTACCTAATTGGTCCAATTTCCGTTAAACTTAACAGGTTTCCGTTCTAGTTTTTAACCAAAAATACCATGATATTTTTAATAAATTATAAAAATAACCCTAAAAATATAAAAATGATAAAATAGTCCCTTTTATTCATTTTTTTCCTATTTCATTTTAGTTCTCTTTATTACTTTTCATAACCATCAAAATATACTGTATGACCTTTAAAAAAATAATTATTTATTTTCAAAATATATTTTCATGTACAACACATGTGATTTGGGTTGAGGGGTAATTTTGTCATTTTAAATTTTTTAAATTTTAATTTCTTTTTTTATTAGTCTTTTTTAGATTCTTTTTTTTTTAATACTTCCTGACTTGTATATATTGATACTAGAATAATTATTGAATTTTAATAATTGATTTACCGTTTCATTTTATAGATTATAAAAACTTTAACATAAAGAAAATGAGGAAGAAAAACTTAAGTTGAAATAAACATGAAAATAATAGTTTATCATTCTTAAAAAAAGCAAAAAAATCTTTAAAAAAACAGCAAAGAAAAGTCTTTTCTCCTTAACTTCCTCTATTTCATAAGTAAGTTACGAAACATAAATTTTACTTGATTTAGCTTAACATGATTTTTTTTTTTGTAATAAAAATAATACAAGTCATGTAGTATGATTTAATAATTATTTTGCTAAAAAATACACGTATTTATCTTTTTCATGAAATTCAATAATTGCTTTTAGTAGTTTAGCAACCGTGAATTGGCCAAAAAAAATTTATTAAAAAAGAATAAAAATAGTGTTAACTAAATTTACCGAAATATATCGTTGTCAACTAATTAAATTAGCACTTTTTCATGTTTCAAATGATTGTCTAATTTTTATATTATTTTTATTACAACGAACTAAATAATTATTTTATGCTAGATCAAGTAAAATTTATGTTTCGTAACTCACCTATGAATTAGAGGAAGTCAAGGAGGAAAGACTTTTTTCTTAAAAAGATTTTTTCGATTTTTGTTTAGAATGATAAACTATTAATTTTCATGTTTATTTCAACTTGATTTTTTCTTCCTCATTTTCTTTATGTTATTTTTTTTATAATATATGAATAAATTAATTATTGAAATTTAATAATTACACTAGTATCAATATATAAAGGTCAAGAAATATAAACAATTATTTTTTAAGATCATATAGCATATTTTAATGGTTATGAAAAGTAATAAAGAGAAATAAAATGATATAGAAAAAAAAATGAATAAAAGGGACTATTTTATCATTTTTATATTTTTTAGAGTTATTTTTATAATTTATTAAAACTATCAGTGTATTTTTTATTAAAACAATTAACAAAAATTGGGTAGAATTGACAAAAATTTCAAACAATAAGGACAAAATTAGCTAATCAAAAATCAATAATGTAGAATTGACGATGTGCCCAAAGTTTTGAGTATGAACGCTATTTTTTTCCTAAAATACTTATCGAGAAACACGTAATAATAATTGAAACATTTGTTACAAAAAAATTCTTCGCTCATTGTAATTTATTTAATTCGAATTCATACAAGATTAATTTATTAAGGCTCCGTTTGGTTAGATTGAATTGTAATTGAATTGCAATTACAATACTATTGAATTGAAAATGAGATATTAAGATTGCAATTCAATCATAATTTCTTTGTTTGGAAGAGCTTAAGAATTGATTAGAATTAAGGTTCTAATACCAATTCTTGTGTTTGGATCCTTATAAATTTATAAAATCTAGAATTAGAATTAGTTTTTTATTATCTAACTATAACTTAGTACTTTATTTCATTGAGTAAAAATAAATATTTAATTTTATATATCAAAGCAATTTATTACTACTTACATATATAAGATAAAAAAATAAATTTATTATGTACATTTATATTAGAACTTTTGTTGTATGATTAATATATATATATATATATATATATATCAATTTTCTAATTTATTAGATACTTACATACTTGTGAAAAACTTTTTTTATTATTATTATATAAAGAATATTAATGTGATGATTGAAATTCTCACAAGTAACATGTGGAACATCCTTGTTCCTCTCCCTTTTATTATTTTATAAATTTTTAATCTTTAGTTTTCTTTTTTGGAGGTTTTAGTGGAAATTTTTTATATAGTTGAAAGTAAAGACCATTCATTTATGTATAGATTAACATTAATACAAGGTACTAATTAATTATTTTTATTTTTAGATATAATTATATATGGCATAATATATATTTCGACTTCTTGAAACCTTACATAATTTTTAGTGAAAAGAATTTCAAGTATAGTTCAAAAATTATTTATATATTTGATAAAAAAAATTGTTAACCATAATTAATACCCTTAATTTTTTTAATAAATTATGGGTATCGTTATACATTTGATAGTTTTTGTCAAAAAAAAAAAATACCATACTAATTTTAATGTGTATCTCATTAATAATTATTATATTGATGTACACCTTGTTTGCACAATGAATAAAACCATATGTTAATTTAATAAAAAGCAAAAAAAAAAAATAAATAAATTCCAGCGCTTAAAGAAAAAGGGGGAAAAAACGAAAAATAAAAAGGAAAAGCAGCGTTGTACAGCGCTGAAGGGGGGAAAAAAAAACTTAAACACAGAAGTGACCCGTTTCTTTATAACCCGAAAATGACTCGTATGTGACCCGCGTTATTTTTTAAAGTCCCTAGGGTTCGAATTGCAATTATTTGATCCCACAAAAGAATTGAAAATAAAAAATTGAGCCTCATCTTGAATAATAATTCTAATTCCGGTACTTTTATTTTTGTCAGCCAAACACAAGAAGTTCAATTCCAATTCTTGGGTCCAATTCAATCCAACCAAACATAGCCTAATTCGAATTCATACAAGACGATACTCTCGAAAGAACCCATTCGACTCGGGCAGTGACTAATCTAACATTAGCCTCCTTAATTTAGATTTTAGCAACGATGGGTAGGAAATTTTTATGAGCTAGCTATAGGAAGAGGTCTACAGAATCATCCCGTGGACAACCATCCACCGTATCCGAACCCTTTCTCTTTATTCCCCTCCATTTTCCATTCTAGCTTGGCTTTTTGGAGGGAACTCAAAAACTCTGTCTTAATTCTTATTTTTATTTTTCCGGCGATCATCCCACTTCCTTTATTGGTTACTACTGGTCCTAGCTCTTAGGTCTAGCAACTTCTTCATAATCGGAAACCCACTCTTCCTCCGGCGGTCGCTTCTTAGAATCTCTGTGTAACGTTTTCCTCCGGCGATTCTCCGGTAATGTGTCTACGTTGGACTACAAGTAAAGTGAACCTCATCTGCAATTTGTTGGCTTGAATAGTTGGATTAGTTGCACGAAAGATACCATCTTTTTTCCTTGTTCTGTTTTTTTCCCTCATTTTATTACGATTTTGAGATTTTCCGAAGTTCTCTATTGCTAAAGCTAAGCAATTTGTATAGACTCATTGTTCATCGTAATCTTCATCCTCTGTGGCTGAGCTGCTCTGAGGGACTAAGTCTTTTACTGATTTATTTTATGTGATGAGTAGATCTAAGGTTTATTCATTTTTATCTGGATATTGTGTTAGTGTGAATTTTCTATTTTCTTCTTTTCTTTTATTTTGGGCTAAAAATTTAGATAATCGCCTACCTTCTTCCCTAGTTTAAGTCTACCAAGAACTAAACTTTTCGATTGAAGATCATATATTCGAGATATATGTGTATGGATTGTGTTTGGCTTAAACCCTTAATTTTTCCCTCTTAAATCTTTCCTTTTGCCTAAAAAGTTGTGATCTTTTTGGTTCATTTTGAGCTGTAGATTCACTTGTACTTTATGGGGAAAGGTGCAAGAAACAAGAAGCAACAAGCAGCAGTGGCGGCGGCAAACAGCTCCCACCACCACCACCAGGTCAGACCTTTGCCGGAAGTTGAAGCCAATGTTGGAACCCTCACCAATGCCATTAAGGGTCTTCTTGGAACGCTGGAAAACATGTCTCAGCAACTCGATTCGGTTTCATCCGATGTGAAGGGTGTAATTAACAATGGCGAAAAAGCGAATTCGGGCTGTGGGAAATCAGCTTCAGGTGAGCCAGCCCTGTCAGTGGATGAGTCTGAGCGAGACATTGTTTTGGAGTTTCATGATTTGAAACAAACCACTAATGTTGCAGAGTACCAAGAGAAGTTCCAGGAACTGAGAGACTTGTTGGTGAAAATGAACTATAGACTCCCTGAAGGTTATTTGATTTCCAGCTTCTTGGGTGGACTCAAACCTGAGATAAATGTTTCAATTCGGGGTCGGAAACCAGAGACTCTTTGCCATGCTTTCAACCTTGCAAGGATTGAGGAGATAGCAATGGAGGTAATGAAGGACAAACTAATCATGTCTTCGGGTGGGAACGAGCAGAATCTGCCGCCATCTAGGTACCCTCAGCTGAAGTTATGGCCTGATCATCCCCTGAAATTTGGAGCTTCAGTTGGAGAAAAGCCAATAAGAGTCATAGTATTTACTGGAAGCATATACAGCTTTCTTGATACTTCTTTGGCAATATCAGCAGGGTGCGAGATTGAGGAAGCTGAACCAATATTGGTGAACTTTTTAAACCTTGGGTACAAGGCAGTTAGCCGGTTCAAATGTCCAAGGTTCCGGTGGACATATAAGGGTGAAGAGAGTGTTACTGATTTGAGGATAATCGAGATAAAGGCAGCCTACGACATTGTGTTGAGCTCAGATTGGCTGAAGAATGGGAAGTGATGAAAAATGTTTGTCAATCTCTTTTTGCCTTTTTGTTTGAACAGATCGTGTTAGATTTCGGTTCTTAGCTAACTCATGTTAGATGTCTATGGTTTAGTATCTTGGTTTGCTGGAAATACAAGGTTCTTGCTTCCTTGTTGTCTCCCCAGCATTCTGGTTTTTACTTTTTAGCTCTCCAGTTATTTTCGGCTTCTGTTAAATATTATGAAATGTTCTAAAGGATAAATCGCCTTTGACATACTCCATCCGACTTTATTTTGTTTAAATTTACTAGAAGTTAAACCGTGCGATGCACGGGCACAAAAGTTAATGCTTAATACAATATGAAGATGGACAAAAGAATTTGTTGAGAACTGAAAATAAGAATTTCACAAAAAGTAACTAAATAAACTAAAATATCGTTGTCGACAAATGAATACAATATTACATTCCATACTTATAGTATCATACATTGTGTATATTTTGGATTTAGGCCAATGCATTTCGTGTGCTGAATTTTAGATTTAGACCAACGCACTTAGTTTACCAAAGTAGCTAGTAATCAAAAAAGGCAGCAAGAAAAATGGATGAAGTTATTTAGCTACTTTCATTAGAATTTGAGGATTTTTTTTCATAATTTCAATAAGATATTTCTTGGAGATTGAATTAGAAAATGAGATTGTATTAGAAAATTACACATAGGATTTTGTCCTATGTAACATCCTATAAATGAATTTTATTTTCTCTCAACTGATTTTTCTCTCTTATAATAAACTATAAATGTCTTAGTTTTAAGAAAAACTAGTTACCCGAGCGTTGCTCAGATTAAATATAATTTTTCGTGAAAATTATCAAAAAAATATATACATAAATAAAAATGTATAAATAGCTGAAAGAGGGACCAACATCTGCCGCTATTGCCAAAGCCTCTGTTGCTGCAGCCTCTAGGGCTGCTCATTAATCGGGTATACTCAACAAACCGCCCGACCCGAAATTAATTCGGGCAAAACGGGTCGGCTAATCGGCTTAATTGGAAAAATTTCAGCTCCACCTGATTAACCGATTAGCTTATGCAGTTCGGGGTCGGTTTTCATAAATATTTTTCGGGCACACCCGATCAACCCGATTAGTTAATTATTATTTTTTTTAATTCCACATATTATATATATGGTTTAGGGTTTTTTTTCCCCACTTCTTCTTTCTTCTTTCTTGTTTCTTCCGCCGCCCAACACCATTTCTTCCACCCAACACCATTTGCAGCAACACGCCAACAACTCCCATCGCGACATAGCTCCACCTCCCTCTCAATTCCCACTTCCCAAATCCACCAATCCAACCATCTCTCCTCCAAAAAAGATAGTTCCTACCTAGATCTAATGAACTTTTCCAATCCAAATCGAAACTTTAATTTCCTATGAAAAAAATATCTCCAAATCATAACATTCTCCTGGCCCAAGAGCTTGTGCACCTATATGGTAGGAAAAATATCAGCTCTAGAGCTGCTTTCAAAGTGGATTTGCAGAAGGCCTATGACTCAGTCTCCTGGCGATTTTTAGAAGAAGTTTTGTTCAACTATGGCTTCCCTCTAAGATTTATCAAATGGATCATGACTTATGTGACAACAGCTCAATTCTCAGTTCTAGTAAATGGTGAGCTCATTGGATACTTTCCGGACAAACGAGGGATTCGACAGGGTGATCCCATGTCCCCTTACCTTTTCACTCTTGTTATGGAGTACTTATCTAGAGCTCTTCAGATAATGTCCTCCAAAAAGGGTTTCAGAATCCATCCGAAATGCCACAGAACGAAACTCACTCACCTGGCCTATGCTGACGACTTGTTTCTCTTCTCAAAAGCTGATATGACTTTTTCGATCAACCTGATTGATAGTACACTCAGGCAGTTTGCTGAAGCTTCTGGACTTGTCTCCAATTAGTCAAAAAGTTGTTTATATTTTGGGGGAACAACCATGAACCTAAAACGGGATATAAGCAATATACTAGGGATAAAAGAAGACACTCTTCCAGTGAAGTACCTTGGTGTGCCACTTAGCTCCAAATCTCTCTCTATCACAGATTGCCAACCTCTTATTGAGAATATTATAGGGAGGATAAGAAGCTGGACTACACGGTTCTTATCATATGCAGGCCGTCTCATCCTTGTGAAAGCAGTACTTCAGAGCTTACATAAATATTGGTGTAGGGTTTTCATTCTCCCAAAAAAGATGATAAAAACAATAGATGCTCTTTGTAGATCATTTTTATGGTCTGATAATTCTGATAGAAAAAAAGCCTTGGTTGCTTGGAGTGAGGTTTGCAAACCTCTCACTTCAAGGGGACTGGGTTTAAAAGACTCCAGGGCTGTTAATATTGCTTTGGTTCTCAACCTCATTTGGGATATATTGCACAACAAGGAAAGTGTTTGGGTGAAGTGGATTCATGAATATTATATAAAGAATGGTTCTTTTTGGAGTCTAGAAGTGAAGCAATCGACTCCATGGCCAATTAAAAAGCTGCTGAAACTGAGAGAGTATGCCTTAAAATGTGTCTATGTCTCCTCGCAAGGCTTGGAATGGATTGGCTTGGGAGAACCATTCTCCACTCATGGTACATATCTTACATTAACCGTGATGCATCATCGGAAACCAGAGTACATTTTATCCTGGGGTAAGTTCATTACTCCTAAACATGGGTTTATTGTTTGGCTGGCCTGTCTTGATAAATTGAAAACCAGGGAGAAAATTAGCAAATACGATCCTTCAATGGATAACCGATGTCCTTTGTGCATGATGGAGGAGGAAACTGTTGGACATATATTCTTTGAGTGCCTATTCTCTACACAGATACTCTCCAAAGCCTTGGCACTGGTAGATGCACAGGTCTCTTCTTTCCATTGACAGACTCTTAGGGAGGAGATTCTATCGAAATATGGATCAAGCTCCGTGAAAGATGGGATCACTAGAGTTGTGGTGGCAGCAACACTTTACTACATTTGGGAGGTGCGAAATCACGTCATTTTTCGCCAAGAAAAGGTGAATGAAGCAGGATTGATGAAGAACATCTTGTTTTCCTTGAACCTGAACCTCTCCAAAATTTGTAAGATGAAGAATACTAGGCACAACCGAGTGTCGTGCAACAAGATGAATATCTCCCCTCAGTTCAAATGAAAATGGAGATAATTTTGTGTGGCGATTTCTAGTTACTAATTAGTAGCTTAATAGTTGCAGCAATTGTATATTTATAATTTCTGAGTCTTTTGGACAAGTAATAGTGTCTGTACCTATTTCTTATTCAACTGGAATGAAATAAACAACTTTCTTCCAAAAAAAAATATATCTCCAAATCAAAGCCTAAAAGGAAAAAGTTGAACCCTTTTATTTTTTTTTTTTGTGTACCTCCAGATTGAACACGTCCTTACAGTTCCACACACTGAGCACGGCCCACGACTCGGGTTGCCTCGCCAGGAACTCGGCGGTGCTCGACCACGACTCGACGGTGACGGAACCCATCGGAACCGCCACGAAGGTGCCGAGGTTGAGCTTGTTCTGGAGGATGGAGTCAATGTCCCGGGGGAAGAACTCCGTGGTGGAGAATTTGCGGCGATAGAGGAGCTCGGCATCGGCGGGGGTGAGTTTGAGGATGGTGACCCGCCAGGAGAGGCGGAGGCGGTGGGCGAAGACCGGGTGGACCAACAGGCTGGGAGTACGAAACTTGGAATAGCCACATTTGTGGGTAAAGAGGTCAATGGAAGCTTGGTTGTCATTTGCAGTTCTGTAATTTTTGTTGTTAGTAGATTTGTGAGATTTTTTAATTTGTTGATATTGTAGTGGACTTGTGGATTATGGTGTGGAGTTGAACTTTGATCTTTGATGTTTGAATGAAAAATTTTAAGTGTTTTACTGATTTATTTTAGAATTCAGTTCAAGAGCGTTCTGAAATCTGAAACTTTGAAAAATTTTAGTTTTGTCAAACAGAACTGATTTTGTTGGATTCAATTTTGCAAGAGAGATCGAGGAGGGATTCTTCTTCTTCTGACCAGATTCACAGGGTATTGGTTTCAGTTTAATCGGCCCCTGAACCGAAAACCCGATTGCTTATTCGACTTGGTTCGGTTCAGAGGAACATAAACTTTGGTTTGGTTTCGGGGGGTGAAGTGAAATAAAAAAAAAAAAAATTAACCCGAACTGAATTCACCCGAACCGACCGAATTAATTAGCAGCCCTAATAGCCTCCGCATCCTGGTACGATTTTGCTGCCCGATCGTTCCCGCTCATCACGACTGTAAAAAACAGTAGCAGATAAATCTGAGCAAAATTATTTTATTTTGGTTAACAATAAATCTATATCAATATATCCTATTAAAAGAGAAGTCTAAGAGAATAAAAATGTTGGGATGTCGCATTCTGGTTAAAAGTTTTCCCTCCAAAACACCTTAAGTCAAAACTACGTCGTTTTGATTAAAAAAAAAACTTTGACTATAATATACATAAAAACAAGTTTCTATGACAAATGCATAATAAAATTAGCTCATTCTATTGTGAAAGAGAAATTTTAATTATGTAGTACGTTTTAATTCAATATTTTCTTGCCAAAAGAAAAACGATGTCATTGATGGTAAAAAAAAATTAAAATTTCACAGGGTAGTTATGCAAAAAAAAAAAAAAAAAATCCAAATGAAGTTTTTTTTTACATTCAAACTCAATCACTCTAATGGTAATCTCATTAAAAAAATATTAAAATTTCACTGATAAAATTACGAGAAAAAAATCAAGTCATTCTCCTTACATTCAAACTTAATCACTTTAATGCCGATTTAATATAAGTATTGACATTTCACGGGAAAAATTACGAGAAAAATTCAGGTAAAACGTTATTTTTATATTCAAACTTAAGGTAATTTTCAATTATAATAGTATTAATACTGTTTAGTTTTAACTTATTTTTTACTGTTGATTTTTTTTCCACCAATTTTTCTTTGGATTCAATTTCACAATTAACAATTAACCGAGTGTGTGAAAGTTTTTTGACAAGTAATAATCGACTTAATAATCGATTTTAATATATTCCGTGCAACGCACGGGAGAGAACCTAGTTTTATTATTAAAACAACTATCAACGAGCAAATGAAAGATATATATCACGTTGTAATTAAATTTTTCATGCCTAAAATATATCAAGTCAATCGTCAATACTATGTAATTTTGATTAGAAGAAGAGCAATTAAATACATTAAAAATTAGTT